TCAATGTGTTTTTGTAGTTGTTTTAATATCCTTTTCCAGGAATGCTTTAAAATCACTTGTATTCAATAATTTTTCTGCTGACTTGCATATACCCATGTGTGACATAATCTCTTTACCTGGCAACAGTAGTCCTGGACCTAAGTTTTGTTAATGTGTTGTGTAACACAAATGTTGGATGTTTTTCCAAAATGCATTAGTGTCAGAAATGGTAGAAAAGGGTGAATATAAATGCAGGTCTCACAGATTTTTCTTTTTTCCCGCTCTTAGCGTCCTTGAAATTGATTTTGGTGAAATTCTAGGAAAAAAAATGTATTTGCTAACAGCAGACTTCAATTTCTGTAATGAGAAATACAGGCTAAATAAATGTACCTATCAGGTAGCTTTATAATCTACAATGTATATTTTACTCTCCCTTGTAAGTTGCTAGAAGACCTTTGTTTTAGTGTTCCATGTACTAAAGGCATACTGGCTTCAATACTGAGAAGTATTTTGGAACATAAGCAGAATTTATTTTGGAGTCCTACAGTGCTTGCTAAATCTTCAGTTGCAGAGTACATTGCTAATGGAATTGTGTGTAAGTCGTTACAGATGAGCCAAGGAAATAAAATCGTGTCAACTGTAATTTCATAGAGAGGAAATGTTCTGCCAAGGAAATAAATAATCTGGGGAAACTCCCACTTTCAGGATATATATTTTGGGGGAACTCCCTTTGCATCTGTCAGCAGCAGAACTGTGTGCAGGAATAGGATTTGGTCCGTTGCATTTGTACTTCTCAGTTACATGATGATTAATGTTTTTTAAACTATGCTAAATTGTGCTAGAAGCACTTGCAAAGGATAAGTTTATGATCAAATCAAAGTCGGTATGTCACATTCTTGTACTTGTGCCAAGTTTATTGGGGGGCAAGGAAACTAACAACAATTTACAATTTAAAATTGATATATTTTTCCTCTTCAGGTGCATTTTAATACTGTAGACCGTGTGTGTGTGTATTAATATACAGTTCTATATAGGTACATATATATGTGGAAATATATATCTGAGGTCTACTTATATTATATTATTATAACTTCTTCAGTTCTTCCCCAGTAAGCAGAATGAGGAAATGATAGAAGTTTTAAGAACTGTCATTTATCTGGCATTGAAAGTGGATTTCTGGAAATCCAGGCTTCATTTATTCCCCTTGTTACTGATAATCATTATTATTGTTGTTATTCTGCAGGTCACCTGGCAGAAATAATTCTGATGTATGGTTATTCTCATTTTCACAGGGCTGCCTTACCTAGCAGATGAAGTATTCAGGTGAGTAACTTAAACTGGCTTTTTTACAATACGTAGTTGTGGAGCATACTGTTAACAAACGTATGCTCTCTCACTATATGGGATGTTTTCCCACTGTGATCTAGAATCTTGGTCTAAACTACATTGGTTGAATCACTAAAACAATAAAGATTATAGTAATCTACTCTTATTTCAAGCTATCTAGCCAGTAGAGCAGAATATGGTTGTCTTTCCTGTCTTACTATGCTACAGACTTTTACCAAAAGAGATAACTCTCATGTCACTCCGAGTGGAACTTGACCCACCAGGATGGCTACTTGCTCTGGTGGAAGAGAAGTGGTCTTTGTGCTTTTCTTTTGGTCCTGTTGTTGGCTTGTGAATTTTTCTGCCTCATCTCTTGCTCAGTCCGCTTTTACATGCGGTCCATTCTTGCAGTTTCCTGTAAATTGGTCAGTAAGAGGAAGCTCTCTTGCTGCAGATAGCTCAACACCTCAGCTGAACCAGTACATTAATACTGGTGAGGTTTGTATAGCATGAGATACATCTTTTATAGCTCTTGCTTTCGGTAAACTTGGGGTAGGTGTGGTTACTTTTGACCACTGCGAGCAAGAGCAGTTACTAACATTGGCAGAGATGATTGTCTGTCTTTCGCAAGCAGTGGTCCTAGTGGAGTGAGAACCAAATGAAAATTGCTTTTGATGTTTTGGTTCTTCTTAAGTGAGATCTCTTAATGTCGGAGAGATGAAGCGACTGCTTTTAGTTGAAGTTCTCCCTGAGCTGGGTTGGTGCAAGGCCTCACTGATATTATGGGGCTAAATAAAGGTTAGTAGTCTGAAAACTATATGCCAGCATTCCTTGCAAAACTGGATTTTGCACTGCGGAGGAGGACTTATGTATTCCTTTTCCACTTCTGTGACAGATGTGTTCATCAAACCCACTACAGTTTTGCATCTATTCGGGCTCTGCAGTTTGGAAGCACGACGCTTCTGATTCATGTTTGGTCTAGAAAACTAGGCTGAATTTTCATTCTATTATATCAGTGATCATCTGTGAAACACTCTTTGGTGGTTTTGGTGTGTTTTTGTTCCTTACTAGAACACCAGCTTGTGCCTATGCACACGTGTATTCTTTTTCTATGACCATCTGGACAGTGTTAGAAATCACCAGAAAAATCGAAAGGGGATCTTGGAACTTGAAATGAAAAACTGTATTTGTGAGTACTTATATGAGGAAGGCATCATCAGAAAGATTAGAATGGAAAAAGTAATACTTCAGGAACATACTGAATGTATGAAATATTAGTTAAAAATGAGACTGCAGAGCCCACAGAGCATTGTGTTACTGCAAACTTTGGAGGAGTACAACCAATGTTAAAGTGTAACACTGCAGAATATCTATTCCAAACATCAGTCTGATACATCTACTCAAGCTCTGTCTCTTTTGATCATAGCTTTTTTTTTTAATGAGGTGGAGATAAAAGCTGAAGGATAGTAATAATAATGCAAACTTAGAAGAATATGCTGGATAGCAGAGAACATTCATAACGCAGCAGAAAACAGGGAGAGGAAGGACTGCTTTCAAACATTCTGTGTTAATTTTTAATATCAGTTGCCAATTTCAACTTCATGGTATATAGTACAAATTAATTTCATGGAATCATGGAATCACCAAGGTTGGAAAACGCCTCCAAGGTCATCCAGTCCAACTGTCCACCTACCACTAATATTTTCTCACTAAACCATGACCCTCAGTACTACGTCTCAATGTTTCCTGAACACCTCTAGACGCTCAATAAGATCCCTGGGCAGCCTGTTCCAGCACCTGATCACTCCCTCAGAGAAGAAACTTCTACTAATCTCCAACCTGCACCTTCCCTGTCACAATTTGAGGCCATTTCCTTTGGTCCTATCGCTCATTACGCAGGAGAAGAGCCAACTCTCACTTCACCACAGCCTCCCTTCAGGGAGTTGTAGAGAGCAACAAGATCTCCCCCCAGCCTACTGTTCTCCAGACTGAACAATCCCAGTTCTCTCAGCCATTCCCCATTAGACTTATGCTCCAGATCTCACATGGTTTTGTTGCCCTTCTCTGGATGTACTCCAGAGCCTTGATGCCTTTCTTGCAGTGAGGGGCTGAGGGGCCCAAAACTGAACACAGCATTTGAAGTGCAGCCTCACCAGGGCTGAGCACAGAGGGATGATCATACTGGCAACACTATTTCTGATACAAGCCAGGATGTCTTGGCCTTCTTGGCCACCTGGGCACACTGCTTGGCTCACGTTCAGCTGTCAACCAACTCTCCCCGGTCTGTTCTTTCCACATAGACTATTCCTCCCAACTTGGTATCACTTGCAAACTTACCGAGGGTGCACTCAATCCCTTTGTCCAGGTCATCAATAAAGGTATTAAACTGGACAGGTTGCAATACCAACCCCGGGGGAGCACCACTTGTGACTGACATTCAGTATGTTACTTTTTCCATTCTGATCTTTCTCATGATGCCTTCTTCATATAAGTACTCACAAATACAGTTTTTCATTTCAAGTTCCAAGATTCCCTTTTGATTTTTCTGGTGACTTCTAACACTGTCCAGATGGTCATAGAGAATAAATACACATGTGCATAGGCACAAGTTGGATTTAACCCCATTTACCACCACTCTCTGGGCTCAGCCCTCCAGCCAGTTCTTTACCCAGCAAGGTGTGTACCTGCCCAATCATTGACAAACTGCTGAATTGCTAATTCACAAGCTGCTGAAATGTAGCATTCTTTGCAACTTTTGTTGAAAGATTTGTTAATTATACCACTGAGTCAGTTGAGTACTGTTGATGTTCTTATTAAATAGCACCATAACATTGTCTTAATATGCTGCTCTTTACAGCACACAGTAAGTGTGTGGTGCTTACTCTTTGCTTGCCCTTCCTGTATTGCCTGACCTGGAAGGAATCTATTCTGGAAGTAAGCTTTGCTCAGCATGCTGGGTTATGTAAGTCTTGTCAATCATTCTGCAATATGTGAGTTGCTTTTGAACTTTCTGGCACAGTGTGTGTTGGCTGATTCCAGACCAGTGAATGATCTGAATTCTTTTAAGAGCTCCAAATGAAAATAGTAATGTGTAAAACAATGGCATTTCTCTTTTACCATCAGCTGGTGATGCTTGTATCATCGTAGTGTCCTGTAGCATCGTTGCCCTTGTGTTCTAAACCCATGGATAAGAATTCCATTTTCTTATGGTTTGTGTAGTGACAAATGTACAGACAGGGCTTGCTCTGAAGCATATATGTGCTGCACAGTCTTTGAGAACAACCATTTCGAAGTTAGTGGGTTGAAGACGGATGGACAAACTCCAGCCATAGGGGAGAAAAGGGTGGTGAAGGACTTAGCGTAGTTCTGTGGTGCGAGGCAAGGACCTGAAGCAGAGCAGCATTTGTGAGCCATGCCTCTGCTGGTGCTGCCCGAATGCACTGTAAGGGAGAAGGGCTACCTTCATTTTCTCCCACGGGAAAGCAGCTGGTGGGAAGGTGGAGCAAGCAAGCACTGGAAAATCCCCCGCTGCGTGCCTCGCAGTCTCACAGAGGCTTGAGGTAACGCACGGCTTGGTTTACAGCCTCTGTGGGATATTGGGAAATCTGACAAAGACAGTGCTGCCCACTGACTCTGGGGGGAAACAGGAAGTAACAAAGGAAACAAGTCATTGCCTAGGCGTCCCTTTTGGCCACGCTGCAGAGCAGATGTACAAGCAGTCGGGGCACAGCTCCTCCTTTGTGTGCACAGTAGTTATCGCCACCGCTCCCAGCCTTTTTATACACAAAAAGAAGGGGAGCACAGCGATGTTCCTGCCATGCCTGAGAGGGGCTATCAGCTGCTAATGGCTTTGTCCTCGCAAAGGAAACTATCTTACAGTGAAAGCGTCAGCAGGAAAACTATGTGTCGATCAGGCGCAATGACAAGGTGAGTGCATGCTTCTGGCTTGTGTTTCTGTCATCTTTCCTCTTTTAGGTAGAGAGCAGACTAAATCTAAGAGAAGAGAACTGGCTGGAGGAAAAATGCTTTTAACTTCTGCATCTTATGCAGAAAATGGCCAAGAATTGGAGGGGAAAAAATGAGGGGAGCGTTGGTTGGAAACACTCAGCTGATAAGAAAAGCAAGTTGAAGCAAGCTGAATGGAGTGAACTTATTTATAACATGCACCTCTGTCAGGCTTAGTTCTCTATTCCCTTTGTCCTTAAGATTTATTTCTTCTCACTGTTTGTGCTAAGCTTAATTCTTCTGAGAAACTATTGTGCAAGGGGCTGTGGGGAGTACTAAGAAATGCGATGTGTAACTCAGAAAAGTGGGAGAAACATGAAAGAGTATTTCAGATATACTGGGAATACTTATTAAATAATGGAAACAAGACCTGAAATTTTTTGCAGAAAGCAGATTTACAGATGATAAATATGTAGGTGGTTGAACTGGAGAACTCATTTTTGCGCAGGATTGCAGAGAGCACAGTAGGAAAACTTTTATTACATTTCTCTGTATATGCAGTGCTGCCTTAGTTTTGGTTCAGCCTTTTGTGAATACTGAAATTTCAGTCATCTGCATTATACCAGGAATGCTTTCTGGTATAATTCTGCTTCATTTCTGTAAGTTACACGCATATTTAGAAGGAAATCCACATCCTGCTTTGCTTGGTTTTACTTTCAAAACAGTATTTAAAGATTAGATGATATGAGATATTATGGAATTAAAATTTTTCTCAGACATAATTTGCATGGAGACTCTTGTGACAAATCCAGAACAGATTTAATTTTTACTGCAATTCAGGAGGCTTGCATTTTTGTTTTCAGCATGACCAAAGGGCCTCCAGTACTGACCATAAATATTATTATAAGAAGTGAAAACTTTTAAGACAACTTTTGGCAGCCGTAGGTTCAGCAATGAGGTTAGTGCTTCTTTAGGCTTATGCACTGCAAGGCGTGGGGATGATCACATCTGCCATATGTTCTGCTGAGGTTCAGCAAGGAACAAGGGCTCATGGCTCTTCTAGGGTGCAACCCTTAGTTGAATCAGGCTGTATCAATTTAATCGAGCTGAATGCCAATAGCTCATAAGGCCAAAAGGAGTAAGTGTTCCTTCCTAACACATCTGGAACTGATTATGTGGCTGAAGTTCATTCTGATACTTTCTGAGAAAGGTGCACTTGTGGGACAGGCTTGGACTGAGTTTACTGATACTTCCAAAGTATGCTGCAGACTGGCTTGGTCTGCCAAACAAAGTCTGGGAGACTGGTTTGCATGTATGAATTAATTACAGTATTGATTGTATCATGCTCAATAGTGTTAGCTGCACTGCTCTGTCTTTCAGAAAACTCTGAGTGATGAAGCAAGTCCTATTAACTACTGTTCCAGTGTCTCACACTATGTTTTAAAGTCTGTTGTCTCCCACAGAGGTATAGAATTGCCATGGGGGTCATCTGAGAAAGGAAGTGGTGCAAGGCCTTTTGCTGCTGTCATCCTCTGCTGGCTCAGATGGTTCATTTCAACAGTGTTTCAGGGAGGAGAAGGCTGATTTAAGGGGCACTTGTGCTGTGTGTGGGACTTGATGGAGAAAATTTTAAAATAGGTACCTAGTCCCTTGATGACAAGAATGGGAGGAATAAAGTATGTGGCTTTTACTAGAAGCTTGCACAAAAGAATTAGCGTAAGTATTTTAGCTTGTGTCTTGTAACAGAGGGCTGCCATCAGACAGGGAGGGTAGCCTGGCCCCGCTGGCTTTTAGTGGGTTTCTCCTGTTATCTTCCTTGTCTGCTCAGTGAAAGAGGCTTTGCTTATGCACCTGGGATGAAAATATGTAAGGGGGTCTTTGGCTTGTAGAGCAAGAATATAATGGCATAAAAAAAGGCATCTGGGAAATACCTTCTCATTCCTAATGCTAAGTGCTAATAGGTTCTACAGTGACTTTGGTGCTTGCTATTGACCATACTTGGTAATGGAGCATCAATCTGTTCCTCACATAATAGAAAAAAAAAAAAGAAACTTTAAGGAGGAATATCAAGAGTGGAAAGGTCTATTTTGGAGAGCTAAAGACAACTGTATTATAGATGCTAACACCAGGAAAATCTTCAAGAGCATCTATTCTTCTTTCATCCCACCCCTAAAATAAAGATCCCGTGGATATTTTGTTTTGACAGCTTTCTCCCAGCAGCAGGAGGCAAAATAGCATCTCATGTTCTTCTAGAATTGTTTTGTACTCTCAAAAAAATAAAAAAAAATCTGATGGGGAATAAATTCAAAGTAGTGATTTAAGAGGGTTGTTTCAAATGTTTCAGTCTGGAATACCAAAGTCCTCCCTGTGTGTCAGTAACTTCAGCCCCAGCCTACATATGAGAATGGGAAGTGGGAAAGGTTACAATGAGATCCAGAAAATATGCGTAGTGAAGCTGATTGGAAAGCTCTGTGTTTGAGGTGAAAGATGTACTTGTGTGGGGAGTTCTGCCACACCTTTATTCATGCAGGTGGATGGGGAACTTTGAGGGTTCGGTCTGCATTTTCAGAACTGTTTTATTGTAAATCTGCAGAGATAAGGAATGATTGTCAAGAGGAGGAAGCAGAACTTGATATTTATTGTCCTTCCTTTTGGTTAAATCCTGTACTGTCTGCACTGTAGAACTGGATTCTTAGCCTGCTTGTTTCTCTACTTCGATGTAATAATTTTTATGTTGTCTTCCTGCTATTCTGGCTTTCCAGCAGCTATCTATGTAGAAGGCTGCCATGACCTAGTCAAATATTTGTGTTTTCTCTATTTACCTAGGGAGGGATACCCTTGTCCCCAGTGTTTGCCATTGCCTTCCTAGAATCTCAGCTTGTGGTTGTTTTGGATAACCTCCCTGAGGTACTTAACTCTCCCTTTTCTGAAATGTTTTCAATCTAAGAATATTAACACTGAGATTATTGCTTAATTCCAGAGGGGAAGCGCTGAAGTCCTTTCTTCTGCTCTTTGCTATTTGAAAACAAACCTGTGATGGTCTTCAAACAGTTGGATGGCATTGAGACTAATGCTAGAGATAGATGAAGGAATTGAGATCAGAGTATATCTGGCTGAATAAAAAGTTTGCTTTTGTTTCATCTCTTTTTCTGAATATAATTAGACTGAAATCACTTCATCGTGAATTAGTTTCACATGTTTGAACGTTGATGTACTAGCTCTTAAAGGCATGTCTTGGGCAAATTTCTGAATTAGTGTTCCTCATTTCAAGGAAATGGCTCTTAGTACTGCAGGGTAGCTTGGCGTTAGCAGCCAGCTGATTAATGGCCTATTGCCCTTTGGCTTTTCTGTACGATGTGGAGAAATTATTTGAAGGATTCCTTGTTGTTTTTTTATTCTAGACTTATTACTTTTTACTATTTTAGTAATTCTTAAATATTATAGTCCACTTCTTGGACCTATTAATGCACCACTATTGCTAGAAACTTCATTGCAGAGAGGAGGAGGAAGGCCCAACTCAGCTTGGAAAAATCTCAATTACGTGATAAGAACAGGAATGGATTAGAGCAGAAAAGGATATAGCAGCAAAAGTAACAGCTTTTGGTGAGTAGGAAGGTACTGGAAGAGAGCTAGGCAGCCATGGCCTTTCTACAGCCTTACATTCTATCTGCTCCCCTTGAACCTGTTCTGTTACGTGGTGGAATTAAAAGCTTGTGCAATTTCTGAGGCTGCCTAAAGGATTTCACCTGCTAGAAACTGCTAGTGATACGTTGTCAGCAAAGGCTGAGCAGGTGGAACTCAGTGCTAGGCAGATCTGCTGAAACGTATCCTCAGTCTCCCTTTGCTCCTAACAAATGCAGTGGGCATGAGATGCACTTTACTGCTGACTCTGAGAGTATATTGAGCTGTGCTATTGACTTCTCTTCCTGTCCCTTTCAAGGGAAGCAAACACAGGATCCATTAGATTTCAATATTGTACTACACTTTTTTTTTCCCCCATTCTAAACAGTTATTGTTTGGTTTTGGGTTTTTTTTTCAGAAATGAATTAATGGGTTTTATCCACAAAGGAACCTTCCTAGTTTACCTCTTACCAGCAGAGGCCTTGAGCCCTACGCCTGGTCATTTTGTGTCTGGGTCACACTGACTGTTTGGTTCATCTGTGGATGCTTTTTTTTTTTTAGTTGTTTTGTATTCTTTGAATGTTTTACACAATTGGATTTTTAGCCCAATTCTGTTGCCAGTTAAAGAAAGAAGAGTCTCACAGTGATACATCAGGCAGGAAAAAACTGCTACTTAAAAGGATAGTTCTCCTGGTAACCTGTATAAGGTGGTGGCAGAAACAGTGGGAACTGCAAAGGCTCTTGGTGAAGCATGGCATTAGTAACTGGTGTGTGAGTGGAAGGCATCCTGCAGCAATCTGAGATGGATTTGGTTTGCATTGTCACGTATAAGATTATACACTGATGCTATTAGTTAGAATAAAACATACAAATATGAGAAGCATATTAATATATTAATATTAATAACTGTGTAGGGTTACTGAAATCTGACCATTGATTCCCTCGCTGTACAGAAATCTCCCTTCAGTGCCCATGTGTGGTATGGAGCTTTAGAAAAGAAACTGATTTTCTTTGATTTTCTTTCTAGTCTGCGTGTTATCATCTGATGCAGTTTTAAGATATAAATAGTAAAATAACATTTTCTAAGCACTCTTCTATTGCTTTGACCACTGTCAGTCAGTTTTGAGAACTGAATAAAAATAAGTTGGGACTTTCTGTCCTGTGTTTTTTATACCTCACAAACTTCCTGGAACCTATGAGCATGCGTCTGTCCTGCATACTTGACTGCTGAACCATGTTAGTTGTTTGGAAAACTTGGTTAAGGAAACAAGCTTTGTTTCTCAGTCCTCATTTCCTGAAGTAAAATCTAACTTTGAAACTGCTCTTAATTAATTATTCTGAATTGCAGGAAGATGGCCTCAGAGGAACAGGTCTGGCCGGTCCCAATGAAGGCAATTGGAGCACAAAACCTTTTGACGATGCCTGGAGGAGTGACCAAATCGGGCTATCTTCATAAAAAGGGAGGCACTCAGTTGCAGATCTTGAAGTGTAAGTTCAGTGGTTTTAATTTTTGCCTTTAGAGCCATAAACACGCTTCCTATTAATGGGCTCTTTAATCAAGCCAGTCTTCCTCTTACTTTTCTGCACTGTAATACAGTTTTACAGGAATATATGTATTAAAGACTCATGTTGAAAGAATTTGCTTTAATTGTTTTGAAACTGTAAGCTTTAGATGACAAGTGTTATGATTGATTTTCTTGTATTTAGTTAAATCTTTTGTCAAGGCCTTAAGACTTTAAGGCAGAAACAGATGGCAGAAACAATTTCAAATATTCTTTTATAAAATAAATTAGTGCTCAGCTTTTTCTACAGTTAGTTTTTTAGTACTGAAAAAATATCCCCATCTCCTGCTGCTGTTGTGAAATGGAACTTTTCTCACTGCTGAGATTAGACTATGCTTAGTAATAGTAATTACTTCTGGAATTAGAATCCATTTAATAGGATAAAATGTAAGACTTTGAGTTTAATTTGTATTCTAGTCATTTCCTATGCCTGTTTAGTTGTAAACTGTGTTTATACAACTAAGGGCAAAGATTACCGTCTTTGATGAAGGTGATGGGAGAGTTGGCACTTAGCTTTAAGAGAAAAAAAGAAGCACTTTATTGCAGGCTTTATGCACGTACGTACTGCCACCTTTAAGAAGAAAGGAGATATGTTCACCCCAAATCGCAATACGTTGAACTAAAAAGCTACTTGTAGCCCATGTTTACATTCCGCTCTTGTTTCAGGCTGCACTCTTAAGTTAGCTTGTTCTCCCAGAGAGAGAGCACAGGTGGAGGTCAGGCTTGCAGTTTCTGGGGTTTCTTTTGAAGAGCTTCATGTGACTGGTCAGCAGCCAGCTGCCACTTCGCTGCTTTGTGCCCTTCTATAGGGATTAATGAAATTCGCTTGGGCATCCTAACTTGGGCACAGCTGTTGAGGATCCCACTGCCTTTGGATTTATCTTACTTGCTTTTTTTCTTCATCAGGGCCACTGAGATTTGTGATTATCCATGAGGGATGCATTTACTACTTTAAGACCAGCACGTCTGCATCTCCACAGGGTGCATTTTCTTTGAATGGTTACAACAGGTGAGTGCCAAAACTTAACACCTTAGGCCCTTGTGCTTAATTGGGGTAGGAACTGCCTTTCATTTTGAGTAGTTAATTCAGCTGTGTTTTGTTATTTTGGTCAAGCACTGGTCTCACATTGCTGGAGAAAATTCCTTTCAAATTGTATATGTTTCCAGTGCTGTGCAAGTGTGTATCCTTCATCTTTTGTAATCCTCTAGTAAAGCTTTTAAAATTGCACAGGGCTTACCACTGCAGTGGGTTGGTGCTTGTTCCTTATTTAATGTGGACTTTGCACACATAGATATGGATTCCTCCAGACAAATTATCTGGAATTGAAGCAGAATATTTAAAGTTCCTGATTCGGTAACACTAATTGGTGTCAAAATAGAATCAATTACAGGAGTAATAAAATGAGAGAATACATGTGCAAAATGTCTGACTCTTTCCACTATACGTTATAGATTTTAACATTTGCTTTTTAAGTTGAAGGCAAAAATAAGTGGCTTTCAAGTTAACCAGAATCTCACTGAGTGCACATGTACAGGGCCTACCAATCACACTCAGTATTAACCTCAGGAAATTGCTGTTGCATATGTGCTAAGAAAAGACAAGTAAGATACAGACTGTAGAGGGACAAACCACTGTTGGCCCTAACTGCTGCAGTTTTATCGTGCTCATAAATGTGCTTGTTGTCTCTGCACTGCTTAATGCTCTCAGACCTTTAGAATAAGGAAATCTCTCTCACTGTAGTGGGAAGGCTTTTTAACTGACCACCACAACAGTGTATTTGCTGGGAATGCTGCTATAACGTGGCCATAATACCAGCTTCTGGAATCTGGATATTATGAAAAATGGTGGATTTTGTAATTGCTAGAAAATCTCATTGCTTTTTACCTATCTCTGTATCTGCAGCCATCTTGGTTGTAGAATTGGGACCAGCTCATAGTTAATGTTATGTGTGGACATAAGCATATTATGTTTATATAATCATATATTATTTCCAATAATGCTTATTGGAAAAAAGCTTGAAGTGAAAGAAATCTTCATTTTTTAGGCTGGGCAGTTTCGTAAGAGTGCATGAAAGCAAGTTGCTTTAAGGCTTCCCTAGACTTGTATTTTTCAGATTTAATTCAATAGCCTTTACATTTCAAGTGGGGACAGCACGTGAAACAGCGCTGAATGTTCTGGTGGCTCAGAATGCAGGAAGCATTGCCATCCCTCCCAGACATATGATGGTTATTTTCCATAGTAATATCTCCATTGGTCTTAAATTAGTGAATGAAGTAACTTACAGTTCCTTCTGTGGCTTAGTTTCAGGCCAGATTAAAAAAACAAAACAAAACAAAAAACAAACAACACTATAACTTACAATTTAAAAATGGAGTTGGAGTTCTAAAAAGATACCATCTGTTTCTGAAAAAACGTTGCGCCTTGCATTTTTCTTAGTGCCAACTGTGAGGTGTTGATTAATATCTTTTAATTATTATTTTTATTTTTGTTTTTCCCAAAGTCATGTTCATTTTGATTTGGTACTAACCAAAAGGCAAAAAACCTTACCTGTAGGTTTATAAGCTACCTTCCATAAATACATAAATACACAGAAATACTGTGTTCTGTGAGGAAATTAGCAAAGCCCAAAGTATAGGAACAAGAAGAAAGAGAGCCCCCGAAACTGTCATTCATATTTCTGTACAGCTTGTGCTGAGTAAATCCTACTGATGTTACTTCTGGATTGCACACAGTCTTATGGTTTTAGTCTTCTTATTCTTTCAAGACCTTATAGTGTGCATTTCTGAACAGGGTTCTTTTGTGCCTCTGTGAGGACAGAACTGTATTTTCTCATTTTAGAATCCCATGTGGAAAAAATAAAAGGTGGGAAACTTTTCTAATTTGGTTTGTGAAACAGGTTGAATTAAACTTTTTCAAAAAAAAGCTTATTAAAAAGTTCATTAAACTGTTTATTGAAGAGGTCAGAACATCATCTATGTCTGGTGGATGAAGTGGTGCCTTTCGTCCTGTCAGCACTCTTGCATTATCTGTGCTATTGCTTCAATGAAGAACTACAATTGCCCATATTAGTGTTTTGGTGAGGTGTTGTTGCTGATCTTATTTTCAGCAAGGTAGAGCAGGCTGGTAAAGCTGCTTTCTGAGCTGTGATTTGCACGGCAGAATTAACTTTACAACTTAAGGGATTTCTGTATATTGGTTCTTCTGTTTCCCAGGGTTATGCGGGCAGCTGAAGAGACGACATCAAGCAATGTGTTTCCTTTCAAGTTAGTTCACATTAGCAAGAAGCACAGGACGTGGTTTTTTTCTGCTTCTTCTGAAGATGAAAGAAAGGTATGTTCTACTTCAAGGGAAATCGTATTGCAAATGAAGAAAGTGGATTTTGGGCTTCCCTAAAATCTACGTGGACTGGGCACGCAGCTGTAACTGAAGTCTGTACATCTGGTTCTTTGGACTCCTCTGAGAATAACGCCTGAAGTTTTAACTATTTGTGCAAATTGTAGGGAATGGCTGCAGGTGGCATAATTGATGTTACAGTTGTCTTTGTATTCCTGGTTTTTAGCCGTGGAATTAATATTTGTATGGTAAACTTCTGATTAAGTTTGAAAACTTTGTTTGGTGGAATCTCCTACCAGTATGCAGACTATGGGCAGGTACATGGCTATAGGAGTAACAACTGGAAATTCACAAATCAGAAGTTGAATATTTTAATGCGTTCTTGTAGGATTTTCAATAGTCAAAGCATTTTGACTAATAAATCCTTTCAATACTTATATAAAGGTGTGGATAAATGATATTTCATTTACACTGTCACTCTTGTCTTGCAGGAGAAAGATACTGTGCATCTTTGTGTAATGATTTAAAGATTAATGTTTTGAATGTTGTGGATTTATTTATTTAGAATTGGATGCTATCCCTGAGGAGGGAAATCGATCACTACCATGATAAGAAAGAAACAGTAACAGAATTCAGGTATGAAACTTTAATCTTTGTTTGCCTTTTCCCTCTCTTCTCTTCAGCTCTCAATAGTGTTGTTTCTTGGCTGTTTGCACCTACAAGTAATTTACTGCTGAGTATTAACAGCTGCAGTAGGCTCCAGGAATGAAGGGCCTACCTAATAGACAGATTAAAGAGTAGCAGGACAAATAAATCATTCTACTAAGAGAAATTAAAATGTTGTTTTTGTATAAAACAAAGAAAAATATCAATGGCAGCAACCGATTTAGCTATGGATAAGGGAATAGATTGCTTCTGCTTTTCCAGTACTACTTTCCAGTGCTGCAGTCTTGCTAGCAGATGTCTTTATTTTTCCAAGACCTCTAACATAGTGATGCGAAAGAGACTCTGCCTTTTCTTTTGCAGTGACTCTGGTTCTGATGCAGACAGTTTCTATGGCTCAGTTGAACGTCCCATTGATATCAAGTATTCTCATCATTCAGCAGATAATGAAGGTGACAATTTTTAGACATTGATAAATGATTTTTTTTAAATCTTGCTTTCCTTCTGGGTTCTGCAGGAACTATTCCAGTAGCTGAAGCAGACTGTCTGATTTAGTTTGCAAACTGATAACTGATTATTTTTATGAGATGCATAGAATTGTTGCAATTTGAAATCAGAAACAGTCTGTGTTGTAAAACCATTACTAAAAAATAAGTAGTAACTAAAGGAATTCAGCCTTGGCCAGGAGGTGTCTGACACCTAATACAATCTTAATATCATCCCTAATAATACAATCTTAAATTTTTAACTTACACTTTTGTTAAGACCACATGTTGGGAAGCTGTAGATTTAGCAGGAAGATAAAATATTTGAGCATGTCCATAGGTCATAGTCTGGCAATGCACTGTTATGGTTCAGCCTGGTTTCTGTGATGAGGGCAAAGGGATGCACGGATCCATGCCCTGGGGGAAGAAGGGTGTTGGGGGAGGTACGTGCTGAAAGTGTGTTCTGACAATGTGGTGAAACACTGTGGAGATGGCTGCCTCTTAGCTAGACTGTAAAAACAATTCATCTGTCCCGAGAGTTAGCAGTAATTCACTCTGGGATGTTGTTGCATGTATAACCAAGATGTTATAATTGCAATATAATCAAAAGAGTAAGGCAAAAGCAAACAAGGATCGCAAAAGAGAATAAGTAGAAGAGCTTACCCTTGGGTTGAGCTCACTAGAAGATACCAAAAGAGGAGGATCTCCAGAAGAGATCCTTCCCCTCTGGTAGCCAGCTCTTAAATAGGTCCAGGAGGGGTGGAGCCAGGCTCCACCCCTTCCGGCAGCACAGGTGAATTGCCTTCACCTGTGCTCCTCTGGCTGACTCAAGGCTCACCTCAGGTGATTAATCAGAGGTTCAGGCCGTGACTCAGCAGTTCCCATACATTGCATCTGTGCTGTAGCCTGCTCAGTGCAAACCAGAACTTCTCCCAGTTCAGGAAGATCTCGCATTAGGCATTTGAATGGCCTGGGTGGGGCACGTTGGTTAACATCCTTCAATGTAAGGCTTAAAGTGTGTCATTCTTAGCATTCTTTTTTTTAATTCAGTTTGATAACTTGCTGTAACAATTCAGGCTGTGTGTGTTTATTTTTTAGATAGAAATGGGGATTTTACAGAAAGCCTGTCAGATTGAGGTTCACAGCATATTTAGCAACTAACTTCTTAGTCAAGAAACACAGTACAGTCCAAATGAGGAGACTTGCTTTGTGATCCTCCAGAGTTCCTTCAGTAGGCATTTTCTGCCCTTTCAGATTTCTCAGGGTAGGGTTGATTGGAGCAAGTACTCTGATTTCCTGAAAGGAAATTCCTGACCATTTTTCCTGACTAGAACAAAAACAAAACAAAACAAAACAGGAGTTTGACTGTGTAGGAAATCCGGTTGCACTGTTGCAAAGCAGAGGAAGACACTCATCAGCATTTTGTATAGGGTTGTGGTTTAGAATATCAGTGTTTATGGGAGGGAAGGGTTGTATACAATATGAATTATGTTTGGAGAGGCCTGGAAGCCTAAATAAGGATAATTATTATAACAGTTAACTGATTTTTATCAGCTTAACCTTAGCCTTTTCCCCAGCCCCCACTGAAGCTCTTTCTCAAAGGAAATACTGTGTATTGTTCTTAAGGCTCATATCACAGTCAGTGATGAGAAATTACTGCCTGGAGGCAGCATGCTTTTCATGTCTTGATTATTTTGACTTAGAGACAACATTTAAGTCATTTGTTGTGGTGTATTTTGTTACCAGAGCAAGGCAAAAGAATTCATTGTTTTGCAGATGATGAGGCTTTCATAGGCACTCATACTGCAAAGTCATGAAAGTTGCTATGGTAGGGTTGCTTTTGAGTTGCTGAGTTTTTATTTTTCCAACGTGTTTAGCAAGTATATCAGTTTGTAGCTGTGCCTCTTAACTGATCTGAATTTTTCTGAGAAAGTGTCACACCAGAAGGTACATTTTCATTTCAAAGGCGGAGAAAAACAAGTGTTATGTTTTTCATTCGCTGTTATAAGCAGTGGCTTTCTTGATTGATGTCAAAATTAAAGAAAACACATGCTATAAATAGCAGAGAGGTGGTTGTCTGAGTCTGACACGGATTTTTACTTGCAGATTATGACCAGGAGGAAGACGATGAGTCCTACTTGCAGCCAGATACTTCTGACATAGTGAAAGATGGTATGTGATTGCTTTTATTCCCTTCAGAAAATGCTGGCAATGAAGATCATATTTGTGTAGGATGCCAGATCACTGTTTTTGCTTAGTCATACCTAAAGCACTGCAGGTGGCAAAATGACTGACAAGAGACACAGGTATCAAATCTTAAGAGGTATTGAGGGTGAGAAGAGCCTAGTAACAGCAGTAACAAACAGTTTCTGGCAAGTCTGCTGCCCTGAAGAACCTTTATGTGGTCCTCCAGTGTGGAGGAGGGGGTAATGCTTTTTAAATAGCCTTTTTCCCTTTATTTCCAACAAAGGAAAAATTCTTTGCTAAGTTGACATAACCCATGCCTGAATAAAAATTGCAGGAGGTCAGTACATGTAATGTGCAGTTGTGCTGAAAGTCGAATGTTTATCCAGCATCTTAGGAACTGTCAGACCAGATTATAATGAATATATCTTAAACCACATAAAATAAAAGTCCAGTTTCTTGACATGTTTTGTTTCTCTGCAGTGTGCTATATTTGTTGGGTATTTTCTTTGTGCAGATATCATGGTCCTGCCCCCAGCCTACCCACCTCCACCGGTCCCTCATGTCAGAAAAGTTGCCTACTCAGAGTCAAGGTCACATTCCTTTAGTGGAAAAACTGCTGGATCAGCAGCACCACCACCACCTCCAAAAAGGAGCTTACCTGAGATCAAGACAGAGGATCTCTTCAGTGTGAGAGAGCCCCAGTTACTGTGCCGAGCTGAACCTAACCTAAAGATTCAGTCCTCCAGCCGGAGACCAAGTGAGCAGCTGCCTCCTGTGCCCCCTTTACCTCTTTTCAAAAAGCCTTTTAGAGTCAAAGAACCTTCCTCACTGCATCCAGAACCTCTGCCTCTGTCTCACGTTCTCAATACTCCAGAAGGATGCGAGAAACTAAAAACCTTAAACCTTTCACCGCGAACTCCTCCTCCAGTGCCAAGCAACAAACCCAAGTTGTCCCAGATAACAGAAAAACCAATAGAAACCAAAGTGCCAAGAGAACATGGCAAACCGGGACTGTTTGTGCCACCAGTGCTCCCGAAGCCACCTGTGCCAGGCCACCAGCATCCTGTACTTAAACCTAGACCAGAGAAGCCTTCATGTCCCCAATTACAGTAAGTGTGAAAATACATCCCAGTATCACATTTTCCATGGAGTTTTTGTTAATCAGTTCACAGACATCATTTGTCAGATTCACATCAATGTCTGCTAGTCTTCTCCGCACCATTCCTCTCATCCTCAGTACATGCTTTTTTGCCTATTTGTTATTTGGAGATTTTGTAATGAATTTTACTCTGGAAATAATTCAGAAATAAATAGATCACTTGGGGGGGAAAAAAAAAAAAATCACTTTTTTTTTTGTAGTTTGTTTTTGTGGGTGCCATAAAGACTTTTAATCATAATGAATAAGAAACCTTTGTGTCAGAAAGTCAGTGAACCACAAAAAATGATTTTAGGCCTCTGTGGAGACAGGAAATTTCTTATGTTAAAATCAGCTTTAGTAAGGATGTGCAACTAACTGTGATGCTTAGGCAGTTGGAATTACTTTTGTCAGATCATTCAGTTTTATAGAAAGAATAGAAGATATAGAAATATAGAAGAAAAATACCTCAAATGCAGTACAAGAAAGAGAGATGGATTTATGGGAGTGAGTCCATTCACCAAGATGTTTGGGCACGTGATACATGAGTAGAGGCTGAGAGAATTCGGTTAGCTCAACCTTTAGGAAAGCTAATAGGAGATGTCACTGCTGTTTACAGCTACAGCAAGGCAGGGAGAATACAAAACAAAAGATCTGCAGTGACATGGCAAGAGGCAACAGACAGAAGTCATGACTTTGGAAATAACAGTTAGATATAAGTTATAATATAATTTCATCTTGTGGATGGTCAACTCAGAAAGGCTGTGGAATCTCCATCCTTGGGGATACTCAACACAGCTGCCTGAGCTATTTGGACCTGCTTTGTGCAGGAGCTTGGACCAAATCATCTACAGATGTCCCTTTCAACCTACATTATTTTGTGATTCTAGAGGTGCTAAGTCCAAAACTGAAACTTTCTCTTAAGTTCTTGTTTTATTATCTTTTCAGTGGTTGGTATATTTGTTTTCAGTGAAGATGTCCTTCAGTTTTTGTTCTGTTTCTGCCAGGAGATCACCACCAGATGGGCAGAGTTTTAGAAGCTTCTCATTTGAAAAACCAGCACTGCCCTCCAAGCCAAGTCAAGCGAATGATGATTCTGATGATGACTATGAAAAAGTAAGAACAAACAGATGATACATTCTTAAAAGACCATTTTTCCTGCTTTCTCTGTGGGAGAGCTTTGGGACATGTTTCATGGGGAAAAAAGGAGAAAGAACTTGAAAATGCAGTGCTGTGTGATTTGTACATCTAAGGAATGCCTTTATGAATTCTGGATTGTAGCCATTGGTATACAGGAGGAAGAAACATAAACTTAAGATTAAAGCACTATTAACAAGTTCAGATATCAACAGCTGTAGCTTGTTTGGATAACATGTTAGTATTTTGAGTTTTCATTGTCCTTCATGGTCACTTAACTTCTTTGTACTTTCCTACAGGTTGAGCTGCCTACTTCAATATTTATTAATACCTCTGAATCCTTAGAAGTTGAAAGGTAGATGTGGCTTTTAAAAAGTTGCTTAAAATCCTACAGATATCTGTATTGAACAGTAGTTCAAAAATCATTTTGAGATATATAATTTGTGTTTAAAAACATGGGAATATATTTAAATCACTTTAATGTGGAAATCGCTTTCCAGCAGAGATGGTTAAGTGCTCATGTATCAGTTGAGAAAGCAGAGTCCTTACGAAATGATTTTACCCCCTCTGGAAACAATTGTTCTGCCAGGATATTAAGGGGACAGAAAGCCAGATCTTCTGTGACACATTGCTGATTGGTATGCTAGAACAGTAAAATTCTGTCCAATGTGATGTAATATAAATTATTACAATTGAAACATATATTTTAATAAGAATTGCTCGCAGTGTGCCCTTTTGGCCAAAATGGGTAATGTTATCCTGGGGTGCATTAAAAAGTGTGGCCAGCAGGTCGAGAGGTGCTCATCTCCTCCTGCTCCACCCTGGTGAGACCATATCTGGAGTGCTGTGTCCAGTTCTGGGCTCCCCAGTTCAATAAAGACAGGGAACTTCTAGAGAGTCCGATGGAAGGCTTCAGAGATTGCAGGGGGCTTGGAGCCTTGTCCCTTATAAGGAAAAGCTGCGATACCTGTGTCTGGGGAGATTCAATGTGGATATTAGGAAGCATTTATTCTCAGAAAGAGTGGTAGTGCACTGGAATAGGCTGCCCAGGGAAGCAGTGGAATCGCCATCCCTGGAGGTTTTCAAGAAGAGGGTGAATGTGGCATGTGGCTTTGAGAACATGGTGGTGACTGGTTGATGGTTGGACTTGGATGGTCTTAGAGGACTTTTCCAACCACAGTGATTCTATGATTCTACAATTAGCAAGGACTATAAATATCTAAGGGGCAGAAGTGGACGGAGCCAGGCTCTTTTCAGTGGTGCCCAGAGACACAACAAGGGACAGTGGGCATAAACTGATACACAGAAAGCGTCATTTGGACATGAGAAAGAAGTTACTTACTGTGAAGGTGACAGAGCACTGGGACAGGCTGCCCACAGAGTTTATGGAGTCATCTTCTCTGGAGATACTCAAAACCCACCTGGAAACGTTCCTGTGCAACCTACTTTAGGGAACCTACTTTAGTAAAGGGGGGGAGGGGTGGCTGGACTCCAGAGGTCACTTCCAGCTCCTATAATTCCATTATTACAAGAATCTAAATGTTTTCTGGATCAGATAAGTAACATATGTAATTATTGCACTGTTTTTATTTTAGGATATTTAAAGCTAGTAGCCCAAAGGGACAGCCACAAAATGGATTATACTGTATTAGGAACTCATCTACTAAGGCTGGAAAGGTAACTTGCAATTGCAGAATCTACCCCTACAAAAACCTTTTGGACTTAGAGATGCTGTGTTTTTACATGTTAAAAGTACTTAGATTTTCCTGCTTGTTGTTAAGTACTGAAACCACTGCTATTATAACTTCAGTGATTTTTTTTTAATAGGGTGGTCAGTTGATTGTAAATAATTCCTTAATTCTGTATTGACTTTGAGCTTATCAGTTTAAACTGATTTTGTTGCTCTTTTCATTGTTAAGGTATTAGTTGTATGGGATCAATCTGCCGAAAAAGTGAGAAACTACAGAATATTTGAGAAGGTGAGTGACTCTCTTGTGTGTGAAGCTTTTGTGTATGTTTACATATGCATGATATAATGTGCATATAATGTGCAAATACATGCATATGCATCACAATTAACGAGTCAAACTTACCCCAGCCCTAAAAGTCAAAGTCAGCTGCTTTACAGGTATTTGTTCCAGGATGAGAATTCAAGTAACTAGATCTGGGCTTTTTGATTGCTGTAAATAAATAAAGTAGCTGCAAATGTCCAAATCTAAATATCAGCCCCAGTTACGGTCCAGGGGAAGGGCTACGAAGTTCTTGAGTTTAACTTGGACTTACTTGTCTAAGTGAGAAGCTTGCAGTGCAGCAGCTTGATGGAAAGATCTCAGTTCTGATAATATATTTTACTTATTGTTGTCAGTGTTTGCTGGGTGTTTTGTTCTTTTTCTTTTTAAACACTGAGTAGGAAATATTGCAGTCAGTGACCGTGTATATTTCTGTTCTACCACAGGACTGTAAATTCTACCTGGATGCAGACATCATGTTTCTGAACATGGGGAGTTTGGTTGAATACTATAGCACTCATGTCCTGCCTAGTCACGGCAGCCTGATTCTTCGGTGTCCTTATGGTTACTCTAAACCAAGCTGACAGGGCCGGCATAATTCACTGACACTGAGGAAAAATGGGTTCTCTGCTGTCTTGGAATTAAACGTGGACTTCTGCCACTGCTGGATTTCCCGTTGCTTGCACACAAAACCTGAGTTTATTTCAACCATTTGTTTTCATGTGAGCTATATCTCCACTTAATGAACTCTTGGTAAAGTTTTGTAATGCAGAGCAGTGGATTTTGTGCCTTTCTCTCAGAAAGATCTGAACAGGCTGTTCTGTGAAGGCCATCTGTGACACCTGCACCTTTTTTTGAAACTGCTGCTATTACTGATCTCCTTGGAATGTGGAGAACAATGTCCACATGAACAAAGAAGTGTTGTGAATACAACCAAAGCACAAGAGGGAAGCTTCTGAAAATACATGAGAATTCATTTGTGGCAGGGAATACTAATATTCTGACTTGAAGGATTTTACTCCTTAAGTCAGGGCTGGTGCTGAACTTGTATTACTTGTATAGTTGATGTGCAAATAATGAAGTCTTTTGTGCAAATAATTTGGTTTACTACATGTAAAGATGATTGGGAAATGCAACATTTTCTAAGCCAATTGACACATAAATGTAATTTGTGATTAAAATGTCCACAGTAATCAATACTGAGGTACTGTCCAACAGATAGGGTTATGGCATCATATGTATTAATTAAGAACACTTCAAGTAGGTTAGGGTAATGCTAATTTGGTTTTAATGGGAGTCCCATTCCTTATTTCCAAACCAGAAGGTTTTTTAAAACACAAGAAAAAGCTACAATTATTGTGATGTTACAATTAGTCTATAAGATGTTGTGGTCAATTTGTGAGGATCAGGTTGTCAGCCAAGTGCATTCTCTTCTGTTCGGGTGCAAAGCACCCTGTTCTAGTCTACTTTTTGTAGAACTCTACTAATTTTTTCATTATTAAAATCTCTATTAGATCAAAGCAAATGCAATGCAAACGAGATCAAATTAGTTTTTAATGTACCATCAGCACTATCAATTATAGGTGTTTGCAGGGTGCTTATGTTTGTTCCCTAATATCATGGGGATAAATATCCTAAACACAAGGGCTTGGTGGTTCTGAAATTGCCCTACTCCTGAATTTTTGTAAAGAGAAAGCTATTTTACTGACCTGCTACAATAACTTGGTTAATGCAAAAGTACTGTCAAATTATTATCTTTAATAACGTTTATGAGACTTAATAAAAAAAAGAATAATTTGCTGTAATTCTTGAAACAGGAGAAGCTATCTGGTTTCTGTCAGTTTGAATCCATAAGTTGAATCCATAAGAACATAAAAGTTCCACTTTTCTGCTACCTTTACAGAGGCTATACATGCCAGGTTTAATCTTATTGTTATTAAATGGTCACAGCTTTAAGAACATTAAAATGTTACAGAATAAGAATTTTGTTTTATGAAAACAGTAAAATAGGATTTAATCCCTAAGGGATTTTTCTTAATAAGCTGTAATAATAGGACCTCACATAGAGCCAGCAATTCTTACCTTAATTCCTTCATTTTGTTTGAGACAGATATGCACAATATCAGTATCTGCTTTCTGTTCCCACTGTAATAAACTTTTTTGTGAGTGTAAATTAAAGAATGTGCAGTACTTAAATTTCAGACTCTGTTGAATATCAGATTTGTAATTCCTTTTATTGTAGGTAAGTATGTCTGTGGTTCACTGATCTGATGTGATCCACTCCACAAAGAAAGCTCGGCCAACAATGCACTCATAAAGATGTTGGCTTTTTAGATCTGTGTGTCTGTATTTTAGGCAAGCTCTATTTTTATTTTTTTTTACAGTATTTATACATACTGTTTACAGAGTAAATTTTTCTCTCTCTAGGAATAACTGACTCACTCCATCATGACAGTCATGCTTACAATGTGCTATGGGGCCAAATTCAGGTATTAATTTTTTTATTTTTGTTTGCAAATATACTCTCAAGATTTTTGAACTGTAAAAATACCTGTGTAATCCAGTACATATAAACAATAAGACTGTCTTTACCTGTATAAGACATGCAAATATGTAAATGTTAATTTTCTTTTTTGCACAAATGTATATATTTCTGCAGTGGATAAACTTCCAATGCCAACTCGCCTATTTTGTGCAGTCTCACTGAACTTGCTGAGTACGTGCTTTAATACTTTCTCTTGTAATTGTGGTAAGTAGTGCTCTTCTAACTTCACAATTGGAAGAATTAGGTTTTAGCCCTCTTGAATCAAATTTTTTTGTAAGCAACCATGTCAGACATTTGGCATTCTGGCCATCAGATAACATGGCTGGAGGTGAAAATTATCCATTTTCTATTTACTTCTAAGGTTCTTGAGTGAGAATTGAGGACTGAAGCATTCATTTTATCTACGAGCACAAAACACAAGTGCAGCCATAATAAAAGGTTCCTCAGAGGAAGAGGAATGTGCTGTGCAAGAGAGCCAAGTCTCCAAAGGACTTCAGCAACTTGCAGGGAGGAGAGGCCCTTTGCATTTCCCAGCACCTAACAGCCCTTCTGTTCAGCAATGTTGGCGTCACCCAGCAGGTTTCTCTGATGCCTCCTGCAGGCAAGTAGGAGGGGCAGACAGGGACACACTAAGCAGTGCTTTCAGATGGATTCTAAAGAAATCTGTAGTCACTCTCTCTTCTGAATCATCTTGCTCCTATGTACTGCTCTAGTCTGCTTGGTGGAGAATTAGATAGTTACATTTCTGGTGTTTGTAGGGAAGAAAGGCACAGTTTAGAGCTCACAGTCTGTCTCCTATGTCTCTTACACATCCTATACGCCCCACTGCAAGCTCCTTATCTTAAAGTGGTTTGGGGGAGAAGTGTAAAAGCAGTATTTGGCATGCCAAAATATGCAGTTTGTGAGTTTGGTAACATGTAAGTCAAAATAATTGCTACTAATTTTGGACAAAATTCTGCACTTGCTGACCAAATTTCTGTGAAAGGTTTGTATTTGTGGAGGAATAATTCTTCTAGGGAAGAAAAAAACAAAAAATGAATGGTTCTGGAAATACAGGATTTTAAAAGGGACCATCAATCAATAGAGTGCAATAATGGAGCAATAGGAACACTAAAAGGGAATCTGATATTGAGGTTTTCTATGAGACAGAGTGCTACATGCTGCTGCTTTTTGTCAGCTATTCCCTCAGAACTTAACACTTTTCAAAAGAATGTAAGTAATGAGAATATTTGTGCCCTCTGTTCTGTCTTGCTTTAGAAAATTGGAAGGAATGGTGATTTCTGAAGCGTTGATGGTGATTAGTTTGAGTTTGGTGACATCTGCTGGTCAGCTGTTTCCATGCAGGGAAACCCAACAGCAGTATCTACATGAAACGTGTACAGAGGTCAGTTGGGTGGACATCATTCTTAAGTGACTTTGGATAGGAGCGAGTTTACAGCCTGACTCTAGGTGAAAAGCTGGTGAGCTGTGTCTTTGAGAGTGAAAGCATCTTTTGGCTCATGTTTCTTACATAAGTAGCAACATTGTTTAGCAAAATTAGTCATCTGAATGTATTTTATCCTGGATGATGAAGAAGTAATATAAGCAAGAATATAAAATTCAAAACAACTACTTCGAGGTAGAATTTGCATAATCATAGAATTTACACAGACATCTGAGGACTACCTAAATACCTGACATAATGAAGCACTAAAGAGTTGTTCTAAACATTAAATACTTCATCTGGCCTAAGTGTCTGATGTTGTAATAGTTTCCATCTTATTAAGAAGTCAACATCTTGAACTGTTTTTTTTATAGAAAGAGAAGCACTCCAGATGACCATGATTACAGCCTCTTAAGAGAACTCCAAGCTCTCATATTAAAAATAAAAAAAAACAAACAAAATAAAACCCAAAAAAGTAAACACTACTGAAACCCTTGCAGAGCAGAGAGAATTTGAGTTACCTTTAAACTGGGCAAACTGAAGCACCAAAGTACAGAAAGCTTAGTGTGTCTTGTAACACAGTCAACCCTAAAATCTACTCACCCAGGACTTCCATTTCTGTGCCTTAAAATACAGGATAGTAGTTCCTGTTGGTTATTTGTACCTCATTTCTTACAATGCTAGTTACTGGAAGCATTTAACCCAGCCTCTCAGGTTCATGATGTATGTGAGCATAATGGCCGTGTAAGAATTGTTTTTAATGTAATTTTTCTTCTACATAACTCTAGCAAACTTGTTTTGTACAGAAATGATGGTAGTAACTGCTTGCGAGACTAAATCTCTGGAAATAGATGGGGAAAATAAATGCAGACCCATCTGACCCTTCTTTGGGTCAGTGCTTTGCTTTTTAACAGTATCATATTCGTTTCTTTTGGGCCTAACCTTGATCCATCCGGTTTGTGTACCGGGAAGCAGACATGCACTTCAGTAATGACTTTTTTTGCACAGCTGGAGTCTTGCAGTTGTATTGAAAGCTATCGATGTGAGAAGTACATCACAGAAATAAAGAGAGTCTATTCTGTGTGCGGTCAGGGTTTTCTTACAGGACAGCTAAGGAGAAAGATGTTCCAGGTGTAGCCTCGCAGGCTGTCTGTCAGGGATTCAGTGATTACACTGTGCTTTGATTTACGCTGTGCTACCATTCATACCTACTTATTTTTCCAAGTAAATGGCAGCTACACCTTAACCTGGGGTGCTGCTGAAAATTTGCCTTTTTAAAAATATGATTTAAAAGACTTCAAAATTTGTTGTTCTAACGTTAGAAAGCTTCTCCCAAGATAATTTAATTTTCTCCTGCATGTAGTAATAATAAATACAAAGCTTTAAACAAAATAATTTTTTTCCATGTTTTAGCCCTCTTCATTGCTTTGAACTTGCCCTAATATCTTCTTTTTCTTTCTTTCTTTGTTTTATTCACCGTGGTCTGTTTTTGAAGTCCCAGCTCTTCAAAAGGTAAAACTTCTGGCAGTGGCAGTTTTTCTCCTATTACTAAAGGATAACTTTCTATAGTTTGCTATAACTTTCAGCAGCTTTAGTAACTTTGGAACTAGCACAGAAGCAACTTCTATTGAACATAAACATCGTGTGCCTTCTAGCCTTATGAAGTCATAAATGTTGCAGTTAAAAGAATCTGCTTTACTTGGAGAAGGATTTTGGCAAAACAAATCCAGACCTCCACAAGCAGTGTTGTAACATTACGAAGAGAAAGCTGGTTTCTTGCTTTCTTTTTGGCTAAAGCTATCACTGTATCTTCCACCTATTCTTTTGCTATTACATGAGTTCTATCAAGAAGCTTATGCAATAACATAAGCAAAACTCTTATTAACTGACTTGAACCATGAAGCTAGGTTGATATTTAATCTGAATAGTGTACATTTTTGTGATTCCATCCTAAGCATAAAGTCAATATTTTTCACACTTAAAGCCAAAATTAGCCTCTCAGTTTATTATTCTCAGCGTACGTAAAATCTCACGGTTCTGCCCTTTCCCCACCTGTAGCTTCAGTTCTCTTTTTTTCAGATGTGATTTTGGTTATGGGGGGAGATCACAGCAGACCAGAATGCGCTTTTCCAGGTGGTTGTTCTGTCAGATCTTCTCATCTATATATGCCTTAAAGAACAGGAAACTTCTTCCTTACATAAACAAGTGAAATTAGAGAAGTTAAAAAAAACAGGCCTCCCTTCTGTGAAGAATATGACTGCCAGGGCAAAAATAAACTTTCTAATGGTACTTTCGAGATAAACTTACCAACAGTGACCAACTTTTATAATCCTGCACTTAAGTCATGATATTTTATTAATACTGTTCTACACAGATGAAGTTAAGACAGTCCATTACATCGCTTTTTAAAAAGGCATTTAAGTATAATAATTTCAAAGAAACATTCCTCACAAGCTTTTCAGTAGTAGTGCTAGATGGGCACAAGCTCACTTGTACCAGAAGCATCCCATTCATCATCAGCAAGATTTGGAGGCCCTTGGGTATTTCTCAAAGACAATTGGTGTTGGCCACCTAGGGAAGCAAGTCCTGCCCAGAAATGCTCAGTACACAGACTGTCAGAAAAGAGAAGCTCAGGCAAACCAAGAGGGAGAGAGATATTTTGATACTGTCATTTACACTTTATGGGTAAGAAAAGCATCCTAGAACTGCATACATGGAAGGGGCACACCCTGTATAAAGGAGAAGATACATGTTTTAATCCAGATTTGTGACATCAACCATGTATCATGCTTCTTACAGGTAGCCGAGTGGTTTGAGCGTTCAGGACTGCTAATGCCAAGGTAAAGACTTGTGTAAAAATGATTGTGCAGTATTTTCTGAGGCCTGGTAATGTTAAACTAAAGCAACTAGTGTAAATGAGCATATTCAGATTTTTTTATTTTAGATGCCTTGATGTTCTGTAGTGCAGTACTGCTAATGACTGAGTCTGGACAAACTTACTGCAGAAGAATCAGCAGCTGGTACATCTATACCAACTGAGTAGTGCCAAATTCTGATGCTTCGTCTGAACACTGTACTACCTGAAAATATCTGGTAATTTTTAGTGTTTTTTTTTGTTGTTGTTGTTGTTGTTGTTTTTTTTTTTTTTTTTTTT